CCATCCATCCATCCATCCATCCATCCATCCATCCATCCATCCATCCAAAAATAAACAACAACCAACAACACAAAGTCAAAGTCAAAGATTCTTTATTCTTTGTTATAAAGTCTATCAGAGAAATGTGTCTCTGTCTTTAAGAAAACTTGCTTTTAAGGACTGTGGGCATTTCTCATGCTGGCACATACAGTACTTCTTACCACAGGATTACACCTTTAAATGGATATAGGGAAACTCATGGAGAGTTTGGACCATGTTTGGAGGGATAAAGTATAGAAGTAATATGGTGGGAGAAACCTGTTATAAATAGATGATGGGTAGGATAGAGGAAGAAAAAATAGCTGAGGAATAGCTGAAGGTACTCCAGTGCTGTTAATATACCAAATGATCTGTGAACAATTACCATAATCTCTCCATCTTTTCTCACTTACTTTGCTTTTACTTTTTTCTTGTTCATCCTTTCATTGGTTTCTACTAACCTTTCCAAAATGTCCTCCTGTTTCATGCAAAGTGTCTGGCAAAGAAAAGTGCTTTAAGAGGATATTAGGATCACATCTGTGCAGCACTTTTAAAGCTTAGGGTAGTGCAGGTGAGACACTTAGGATTTCCTGTTAGGCCCCTTGCTACATTCTTTCTAAATTGCTCCTTGCCAGGTGAAGCTGGAGTGTAGGAGGTCTGTCTTTTTCCCTGTCAAACATACACATTTACTGGTGTAGCGAAGACCACATGGGCATCAGCACTCCGCACACAATAATGTGCACACACCGAGTAGACATGCAAAGGATTAGTGATATCACTCCTGTGTGGGTATGTGGGCAAATGTCAACAGTGAAGAACAGAGGCATTCTCAGTTTTAGAGTTTGGGTGTCTGCCAGAGAAGCAATATGAGAAAAATGCTTTGCCATCTTACACCTGGAGCTTTTGGCTTGCTTCTAATGCTGTGACATTAGAATTATCCTCTGATGGTCTCAGAATTGTACAGTACACAAATTTTACACATCCAAAAACACACATGACATAAACCAACTTTCTCAGTAGTGTTTAAAACTGGTTCATCTGATTTTTTTCTCTTTGCCAACCCATCTGTAGGCCTACCTACACTGAGATATAAAATTAACGAGCTCCTACCCTTAAGTCTCAGGTTTAACCATGACACTTATGAGACCTTCTTTTCCAGTCTTTCTTCAGAAACACATCTGACAATATCAGATCAACACCTTTGTCTTTTTGCCAAGATTGTTTTTTAATGACACCAGTACAACCTCCCCCATCACTACACAGACTGTCCTGATCTGTTTGTCAAACTTCTTTTACTTGTAAAACAGTCCTGGAGATTCTTAAACTCTCATTTAGGCAAGACGAATCAAGAAGTGCTAATTCTCATATCAGCCACTTTATGCTCATACAAAAATGTTTCTTTAGCCAGTAGGCTTTAAGCCATCATTGCTTAAAGGAAACAAAACATCAGTTTTAATAGCCAAAAGCACAGTCCTGGCGCCTCATGTTCCACGCACCCATTGGTATGTATCATAATACATTTGTGAAAGTGTGTGTAAATATACACACACTTCTGACCTGTTGTGAGAATGTGCTTACTGTCACTTAAACCATTTCAATCCACAGTATCAAACTACAAAGTACAGAATCTCACCTAAATACATCAAAAATATGACTCCTTTCGGTTTTCTGAACCCAGCATGCTTTTAAAAATGTTTTCTCAAGAATTTGAACATTTAAGAACAATTTCCTGCGGGATCAATAAAGTTCTATTTTATCTTAGAATTTTAATTTGAATGATGAAACTGAGCCACATTTAACTTACAACATAATTTCTAACACTCCTCAAAAGTGATCAAAACAACCTCACTTTAATGTAAGGTCCAAAGTTTCCTACATATTTTTTTTGTCACATGTATAGATGTAAACACACATCAGTGGATGCATGCATGTGAGGAGCACACACAGATGAGGATAACGTGTGTGAACTTTCTGGAGTACTTCCATTCACACTGAGCTGAAAACTGTGTCCAACCGTCGTGGGACAATTCATCAGGTTGATGAAGTGCAAACCATCACATATGTCCATCATATGTCATCATCATACCTGCATAAAAGTGTGTGTAATTGTGGAATAATGGAAGCTTTGGCACTGCTGGAAGACATAATCAGAAGAATTGGGAGGCAGCAGGTTTTTGGGGATCACTCTGACCAGATGCTGATCGGGTATTTCACAGTCGTCTGAGCCATGGTACGGCCTCATCTGTATGAAGCCCAGATGTATCAAAACCCCCCTGGCTGAAACATTTCATTGAGGCGCAACTACTCCTTGTTTTACATCAATTATAAAAAAAAAAATAAACTATGTTCTATCAAGACCCTGAATGCCTCTGTCTTTACAGTAGTTATGGTGATGTGTAAAGTTGGAAATGCCTCAGTCGTGTGGCAGCAGATCTGCACCCACAGTTCAAGTTAATTCAGCAACAACCTTACGTGTGTGCTTCACAGACATTCACTCCTCTTTGTGCATGTGTGGCAAACACATTCTTTACAACCACTATCTATTTTACACCCCACTATTTTGGTGTACCTCAGACTCACATTCCGTTAAAGTCCTCATTTTTCTGCATCTAGACCGTTGTTTGATTATGCAGAGAGAAGAATCATATATGTTTGACATATACAGTATGTTGGTGCTTCAGCGTCAACGTGTGGCATGGAGGCTGCACAGCAGCAGAAAGAAAAGCTTTGCAGAGAGTAGTGAAGGCTGCACAGAAGTCTGTTGGAGTCAACCTCCCCACCATCACAGACATCTACACCTCCAGATGCAGGAAGAGAGCCACCTGCATCATGAAGGACCCCACTCACCCAACACACACTTTTTGTCCCACTCCCCTCAGGCAAGAGGTTGAAGAGCATTAAGTGTAGAACCACTAAACTGAGGAACAGCTTTTACCCTGAGGTGGTCAGACTCATAAATATCTAAACAATCATATCATGTTGCTGCTGATTTATCTCATACTGCTGTGTTCATTCGTACTCATCTGCTTGCACAAACTCATGTTCGTGCTGCTGTTCGGCTTATTGTTTTTTTTACTACTAGTGCTTAATGTATTTTTAGTTAGTTTTTCTTAGTTCATATCTTAGATGTTATTACTGTTTTTTTTTAATATTTGAATACTTTTGTTGGATGTAACTAGGACCCTGTGTACACAATTTCATTCCACCACTTGTACCACATGTGGTGCGTATGACAAATAAAGAACCTTGAATCCTTGAATATTAGCATCTATTTTTATATTCAAATGGAGACATTTCAGGAGAGGTGTCTCATGTGCATAATTTGTATTTTATTTAATTTATTTATTAGCATTTATTTAACCAGGCAGGTCCTATTGAGATCACAGATCTCTTTTGCAAGCGAGGCCTGGGCCTGAAGGCAGCCTAACATGCATGTTTTTGGTCTTAGTTTTGCATGGTTGGTTTGGTTGGTCTTAGTCTTGGTTCTTGGATTAGTTACATGTTCATCAGGATGTATAAAAGGAAGGTTAGCAGAAACACACATGCTCACAGTTTGATAAATCTGATTATATCAGTATTGCGCATGCACATTTCACATTTTGTCCTCATGCCTATTTGCTAGGCTGCCTTCAGGCCCAGGCTTCCCTTGCAAAAGAAATCTGTGATCTCATTGGGATTTGCCTGGTTAAATAAAGGTTAATAAAATAATAAAAATGTCAACTTTCAGAACAAAAGCTGCATACTTTCATACATGAGGCCTCTTATTCATTTAATCTGACTTATCCCTCACTATGAAAATTAAATTCTCAATCTGGCTGTAACGGAGTCTAATGTCTCATATTCACAAAATGCCTTTTCCAAACAGTCTTGCAGAACATGGATTTTTCATTCAACCTTTATTTATACAGGTTAGTCTCATTGAGCCTCAAGGACTCATTTACAAGAGAGACCTGTAATGCACAACCTGTTAAATCAAGACCATGCACACATACCACACTCTCTCACATCCTAGAGAGAGCTGTGATTAAACAAAAAACAAAATGGAATACAAATGTATATTTTACACTAAATAAATCTATTATTCTAATTCCTTTTCAACATGATACACCTGTCGCTGAGGCTCTTACAACCCCAGTCTGGCAAATGGGACTGAGGTGTCATTTGCGAATTTTATTATGACTGCATTTCTTTTCCAAACCTTGTACTTGTTCACTATTAGGTAAATGATTGCTTAGGGTTTTTAATTCCCTTGAATGTACACCAGCTGCTTAAACAGCCTTTTTTCTTCAAAGATCTTCTTTTAAAATGTTTGGGAAAAGAGCTGGAGAGCAGAAGAGTGTGTTCTTTTGCTTTTTGCACTGTTTACATTGTGTCCTGGTAACCCTTGTTAAATTAATTACCAAACTTCAATTTATTGAGCACAAGCAGCTTAATGTGTGTGTCTGTATGGGTCAGTTCAGCTTGTACAGCAACATACTGGTGACCAAAATTAGCTTTGCAACAAGCTCAGATGTCATATTACTTCCCATAACCATAGCCGGAAGACTTATTTTTTTCATCAAAGAGAAAAAATAAATAAAAGTTCTGCAGCACTTCTAGGAACAAATGATGGTAGTAGCTTCAGGTTCCCTTTCTCTTACTTTTATGTCCAAGACATCACTCTGCAGGGGTTCAAATTTTAGACATTATGTCAAAATTAAACTTTTACTTTCAGAATGAACGAGTTTTAAAATGCCACCTGTAGTTGTGAATACTATATCAGCCCCCTGAGTGAGAACTGAAAATAAATGATTAAATCTGGTATTTCTTCATCTTTTGGATATTTATGAGTACTTTACCGTTTGCTTTTCTTCTCATAAGCTCTATGTTGTGATCAACTTTAGGTTGATGCTCTGCGAGTGCGTCTGGAAGAAAAGGAACAGATTTTGACCAAGAAGACCAAGCAGCTGCAGGACCTAGGCGATGAAAAGAGCACGCTTACAGGAGAAACCAGAGACATGAAGGACATGCTGGATGTCAAGGAGAGAAAAGTCAATGTCCTGCAGAAAAAGGTACATAGTTCATGCTAGTTTCATCATCATGCAACTTTCATGTTCTGTTATGTCTCTCTCATATTGCAAAATGTTGATGTAAATGGTAAAAGGGAGCAAAAAATGATATTCAGATTTCTCAGAAAGAAAAGGTAATGATGATTTTGCCTCTAATAAAGGACAAAAAGTCTAAAAACAAGCACGTTTAGTCTGCCTTCAGACTCGACGTCCACTGAAAAAGAGATCTGTGATCTCAGTGGGGTTTGCCTAAATAAAGGTTAAATAAACAGCTGATGTGCAGTACAGCAGATGGGAAACATGCTGCTAATCAATTCTTTTATTTACTTGAGTTATGACGTGAATGATGAGCTGTTTTTATTCCTGTATAATAGGCATGTTCAGTCCTGGTTGACAGAAAACAAAAATCACAATGTGCCCAGCTAAAAATGATTTAGTAAAATCTTTATTTAATTTTTGTCTTGGACAGGGCTAGTTTTTACTTTTGTCTCTAGTCTTGTTTTGATTTGAGGTAAACGGTCCTCCTCGTTGAAGCCCTAAATTAAAATCTGGTGAACTGGAGGTTATTTATTCGCTGAAAGACTAAGAACAAAGAGCAACTTTTAATCAAGAGGTCTTCTCTTGATTGAAAAGATGTTTTCACTCATCTACTGATTTGCTTTGACAAAATAGTTCCCTTTCCAAAGGACTCATCTGTTCGCTCTGTGCTGATCTGAATACTTTTACTTTAGTATATATATATATATATATATATATATATATATATAC